CATATGCTTTTTTTGTTGATTATTTACTTTGCTATGCAAATGGTAAATCAACGGTTCCCATGTAGAAAGAGTTCACAGTAGTTCCTCTCATAGGCAAATCAACTTAGAAAATTGGCTATCAGACCCAGGGCCCATCTGTTTTGCTTAAATAGCAATCATCGAGAATCTAGTGGTGTTAATTAGCAAAGTCAGACTCAATCGAGGAAGGCCAAAAATGATTTCCATTAAAATAGCACATTTCCTGAGCTTTAGCCTCCCTCCGTAAACCAATAAGTTGAGAGCTTCTCTGGCAAAGTTCTTTGTGGTTAACTGTTAAGTGTAGAGAATTAAATTAGATATAAGAAATTGTTTCCCCCTGTGTGGACTGCTGATTGCTAAAATGTGTTCATAAGCAAATATGCATGGTTTTTCTTTTTCCAAAAAAAAAAAAACGTGAAACTCGGTATTGTCACAGTTATTTGAGAGTAAAATAAATTCACACTGCCTTATTATCATGCCATTTAGTCAGCATAGATAATTACAAGAATCTCATTTGCAGTCTGTAGCAAGAGTCGTTGCCATTTATTAAGTGCACAAGGCACTGTATTAATTCTTTACTTAGAGTAACTTAATTCTCCAGGTAATGCTATAAAGGTAAATATTGTTGTATCATTTAGCAGATGCATAAAAAAAAATTTGAGGCATTGCATTCCTTGACGAAGGCAATAAACTGAGATCCATTCCGGGTATGTCTTAGTCCAAAAGACATGGTCCCAAATATAACTTTAGGTTTGATGAACGGATGCTTTTTCCAGACCCTATTATGGGCTAGACCCCAGTGTAGATGCTAGAGGTACAGTAGGTCCTGACCCTGTGGTCAGTAAACCCCAAGAAAACCCTTGTTGATGCCCCTTAGCAATGGAGGAGAGAAGCTCTCAGACCCAGGTGGAGGAAGAGAGATTTTGCTCAGTTGCTTGGCTCTCACCTCTTCTCTGGATGGATGCTATTTTGTATGTGGCACAAAAAAAATTTTTGCAAAGTTAATGTGAGAAAGGGCAAAAGAGTTGCAAAACCCATTTCCATCTAGTAACAGGAAATAGAAAATTCAAACAGCTAAGCTCTAGCCTCTGGGTACCTGTCCTCCGTCAGCCCAGTGCCGAGGAGATAGTTTTTTTCCTTAATATAGTGTTTATTAATAGACAAGCCATGGCCTCGGTGGATACAGGACAACTTGTATTATGAAATTTTAGAACATAGTTTACAGATTCTTCAACCTCTGCAAAACAAATGTTCCATCACCAAATTGGAATAATTGCTGGGGTTTTGTGATTTCCAGAAAATAGAACTTAATGGATAAAATTTTCAGAATATCAAGGTTTTCTTTGCCAAAATTTTTTGAGTTTGTTTTTTTTTTTTTTTCCTGCACCTGCTACTGCTTGTCTGCTGGTAAGAGCGGTGCAGATAAACAAACTAAATGAGTAGACAGCCAGCAGAAGTTAATGCACACAGTCTGTCCTTAATTCAACAGCACGTGGGTTTTTTTTTCTTTTTCTTATGGATGTGTGTGTTTGTGGTTATGGTCTTATATGGTGACACAGAATAGAGCCATATTTTTCTGTCTAAAATATTCCTCGGGTCAAATGCATTGCGATTTCATGATGTTCTACCAAGGCTAGAATCACCTCCTCGTTTCTACGGTTACACACTTGCTTTCTATGATTGCACACTGCACCCCGGTTTTCACCCACGACCTAACTTATGATAAAGACAAGAAGGTACAAGTCAAAGGCTGGGCCAGGTGATTCGATGCAGGCCTCAGTTTGGTTTTATTTTTAAATCCCCCAGTGGAATTGAGTGTTGGCCAACGGACCACCAAGAGCTTCCCATATTCCTCATTCTGAGAATCAATCTTCCTGAACATAAGCTCCTTATCTGGTAGCCTAGAGGGATAGCAGGACCCAGGCCGGACCCAGCTCCCTGAATTCTTAACACTAGCCACTTACCACCTTCTTCCTTACCAGAGAAAAATCATGCAATTATGACCCAAGTCACGGTTTCCAAATCAGTCTAGCTACTGGCCACGCGAGGGAGGCCATATCTAAGAATATGCTGGTGACTGCTTCCAGTGACCTGCTAACTAATCACTTCAGCTGGTTGGCTAGACTCCTGGGTTTTCTGAACTTTCTAGATCATTTAGTCTTTTATTTTGCAGCGGGCATGGGGGTGGGGGCGGGGGGTACTGGGGATTGAACTCAGGGGCACTTGACCACCAAGCCACCTCCCCAGCCCTATTTTGTATTTTTATTTAGAGACGGGGTCTCCCTGAGTTGCTTAGCGCCTCGCTTGTGCCGAGGAAATCATTCCAAAACCCGAGGCCACGTTTATTCACCAATGGAGCCTGCCTACTGCTACTAAAGTTGACAAATTCTAATTTTAAAAAAAAATAGGCAGGTGGTCTGGGTAGACACGTCTCCAAAGAAATGGTACAAATGGCCACCAAGGGCCTGTGAAGATGCACCACCTCATTAGCCATCCTTCCGGTCAGATCAAAACCACAATGACCTACCCCTTCAGACCCACGGGGACAGCAATCATCAACGTGGCACATGACACATACTGAGGGGAGCAGGGGAAGATTGGAAGACTCCTAAACCCCTCACTTGGAAATGCAAACAGGTGCAACCACCTTGGAAAACAATATGGCGACCCCTAGAAAAGATAAAATGGCATTAGCATATATTTTAATCAGCTTTTTTTTCCCCCACTGTGACTAAAGGATCTGACCAGAACAGTTTTAGGAGGAATGGTTTATTTGAGGGATTCATGGTTTCAGAGGTCTCCATCCATGGACAGCAGCAGGCTCCATTCCTCAGGGCTCGAGGTGAGGCAGGACATCAGGGCGGAATAGTGTGGCAGAGGACAGCAGCTCACGTGGGGCTCAGGGAGCAGAGAGAGAGACTCTACTGTCCAGATACAAATATATATACCCCCAAACCACCTTCTCCAGCTAAACCCTACCACTTCAGTGACCACTCAGTTAATCCCTATCAGGGGATTAATTCACTGATTGGGTTAAGATTCGTATAACCCAGTCATTTCTCCTCTGAACCTTCTTGTGTTGTCTTACACGTGAGCTTCTAGGGGTCACCTTGCATCCAAACTATCGCAGCATATGGCCCAGCCTTTACATTCCTAGGTGTATACCCATGAGTTTTGAAAATATATTTCCATACCAACATTATACATGGACATCCATAGCAGAGATATTCATGAAAACAAACAAAAAACTATGGACACAATCCAGATGTCCATCAGCTAATGAATGGGTGACCCGTGGACAATGGGGTGGGTTCATCTGATACAATATTATTCCGCCATGAAAACAACTGAGCTGCGGATACCTAAGAGGATGAAGCTTGAACACATGGTGCTGAGGGAGAGATCCTATACTGGATGATTCCACTGATAGGAAATTTCAGAATAGGAGGGTCCACAGAGACAGAGAGCCGATTAGCTATTACCTGGGGCCGAGGGGAGACGGTGCCGGAAAATGACGACACAGGGTTGCAGTTTCCTTTTCTGAGTGAGGAAAAGTCTCTAAAGCTGTAGGGATGGTGGCCCAACCCTGTAAATATCTAGACACCCGTGAATTGTAAACTATATTTGAATTATTATAAAGCACCTGAAGCGTATCGCAAGGCACTGCTGTGTTTTGAAAGACAAAAGCGATAGGAAATGGAGACTTGAACTGGAGGACAAAAGATGAGTCTTGAAAGGATGATTTTTCTCTGTGACAACCTTTCACTTTTCAAGATGACTCTTCCTTGGTCCAAGAGGATATTCCTATACCCAAGGGGATCTGTAATGGCAGCGATGGATGGTGACATCCTTGCTTTAACATTTAAATATAATTTCCTTACACACACACACACACACACACACACACACACACGGCCCCTTGGCTGATTTTTACCCCAATGTGATGTTTCCTATCATTTTTAAAAAGTCCTACAAGTAATCATTTTATAGACATTAGCTGCAGAGATCTAGCATTGGGAGTGCCTAGACGTGGGTCAAGATAGAATGAGCTGTAAACATTTTTTAGTTGATTCCTTCATGGAAAGTCACATTTTTAAAGTCAGTGTGGTCATCAGAACTCTTTATGTCAGGTGACATAAACCCAGGTCAAAGCCACTGCGTGGAAAAATGGAAGAAGGGAATACCCAGAGAGTCCCAGGGTGGATTTTGTTTCTGGCCCCGGAGACTCCGAATATTAATGCCCTGTGACACTCTCTCCAAGTCTGGGCCCTGCTTTTCTTCTCACCCAGGAAGGTTCATTCCCCATCACGAGAAAGATGGGCACAGATAGAGTCCACGTGTGCCTATCCTGTGAGCCAAAACCAAGAGCAAGATGTCTCTGCAAACAAGTTCAGTGAAGTCTGGGGGCAGAATCTGATTGTTTGGGAAGTGCTATTATCAAAAAGAAGATGGGAATACATACCAACAAAACAAAACCGTAGGTCATTGCACAATGGTTCTATGTAGATGCTTTAAAACTCTGTCCTCAGACCTCCCTTGGAGAAGGCTGAGGAGCCTGGATTCCAATATGTCTGCCTGGAGCCGCCATCTTGAATGAGTCTGCCTTGCTCTTTGAGGGTTCCACCGGGCTTCCCCCTCCCTCCTCTCTTTCCCTTCTGCAGTCATTTTTCATCACAAAGAGTGGCAGAAATTTGATGAACTGCGAACACAAGTGGGAAGCATCATCCAGGCTGCTGTTGAAAAACAACTAAATTAGGTATCACAATAGACTCCATCAAATATTTAAAACGGTGCAATCAAATGAGGGGTTTATTGTTCCAAAAGCACTAATGATACATCTTTACTTATTTCAAATTGTTGTTTTATGCAGTTGGTAATACCAGCTGTTGTGTTGCATGAACATCTCCCTCTCTCTCTCTCTCTCTCTTTCTCTCTCCCCCTCCCTCTCTCTTAATTTTTTGACCCATGTACTTCAATCAAAGATTCATTCGACTGTAAACTCCTACAATATGCCACCTGCATGCCACCTGCCTAGTTGGCTAGCCAAGCCTCAGAAAGCATGTGAAAAGAAGAATTGCTCGAATCAGGGTTTCTGTCGACCCCCCCTGCCAAGATGCTGCCAATCTGATTGAAGAGAGAAGCTCTTTGAATCATCTCCAAGATCCACTTGCCACAAAATGGTAGGTGTCAATGGATCTTAATTGTGAAATGCAGAGGTGGTTCTGTTTGTTTATTTATTTATTTCAATGAACTCAGTGTCTTGATGGCAAACCATAAAATATAGTCCTGAGCCCAGCTGGTACCGGGAATCAAGGAAAACAACCACACTGAGATGGATGGTGTGATCCAGCCATGTAGTAAGTGGGTTTTGAGAGACAGGTGTCTTACTCTGCTCACAGAGAGACCTTCTCCAAATTCATTGGTCAAATGAAAGGTCACTGTGGATTGGGCATCTACCCACGGACCTTAGCGCTTAGGGGAGAATCGAGGAGGAGACAGGAACCCTGATTTCTGTGTAGAGAACTTCTCACCCATATTAGCAGATACGACTTAAATCGTGGTGAAAACCACAAATACAGGGTTTCAGGGGCTGTTCTAGAAGGATGACCTCCATCGTTGGAGGTCATCCTTCTAGAACTTGAGTGTTTCAGTGAGCTTTTGTGTAACTGAGATCAAAGTGCCTGACGGGAACAACGTAAAGGAGGTAAAGTTTATTTGAGGTTCACAGTTTCAGAGGTCTCAGTGAATAGGCAGCCAACTCCATTACTCTGGGTCCAAGGTGAGGCGGAATATCATGGCGGAAAGGTTCAGAAGAGAAAAGTTGCTCCTCTCAGGAAATCAGGGAAGGAGAGAGACAGACAGACCTGCAGTACAGATGCACCCTTCCAGGGAATACCCCCAGTGACCCACCTCCTCCAACCGTGCTCTACCTGTCTACCGTCACCACCCCGTGAGTCCCTTCCCATTAGGATGGACGGTTCAGGTGACACCTTGCATAGTCCAATCATTTTACCTCTGCCTTTCTTGTATTAATTAACAGGATGTTTGTGGGGCGGAGGGGAACACTTCATATCCAAACCAGATCCCTGAGGCCTCTACAATTCATTTGGAAGGAAATGGTAGGTTCATGGGGAGAGAAAACAATAACTTGTAAAGTTCATCTGCCAGAATGGACAGGTTCCTTCCCTGGTGGAACCTCTAAAACTCCACTCCACGGAGTCCTAGGGACAGTCGGATGCACAAGTTTCGGAGGGTGAGGAACTTGGACAATGGCTGTGTGGACTCCCATCTCCAGTGGAAAACGTCCCCGTGTGTAAAGTGCTGCGGAATTATAGGATCTTTTCACATCAGAGTTTCACTTAATCCCCACACACAAAAAAAAAGGTGGAAGACATGCTCCATTGGACAGATGGAGCCTACCTGTTAGCAATAAGCAAATTAAATCTCACTCCTCACCCAAACAGGAAGTCGACATGAATTTTGTGGGTTTCCTTCCCCCCACACACACACTCCTTAAAAGAAAATTTAGAAAGCCATTTGTTTACGAGCTAAAACCTCATGACACATTTTTTGCTGTACATTGTGATTATAACACCTAATTTCCTAATTAAACATGCTAATTGCAAGTAGTTGCCTCACATAACTACCCAGCACAGAAGTATAATTATGTAATAAAAAAGCTTTTATGAATCTTTTTTTTTTTTTTTTTTTTTTTGCAGGAAAGAGAGCTGGCTGAGGAGATCGAAGCTCGGGTAAGAACAAGAGAGGTGCTGCCTTCGGGCAGCTGCCTTTGGATTGCCACGGGGTATCATTATATCTTGGCTCCGGGCTAGAGTCTCTCAATTTTTAAGTCTCAAAAAAAAAAAAAAAAAAAGCTCTTTTCCGTAACCAAAGACATGGCCACAGAGGTTCTGGGGGTTGAAGGAACAGGAAGACCCTCCTTGTAGACCAAAGGGATTCTGCTCCCCACCTGAATGAGGACTAGAGGCAGCTGTAACCTCCTACATGGGGCTTGATGGCTGGGAAGTTAGATTCAGAACCCACCCCACGGCCTCCCTCCATTCTTATCCACCCACCCAAAGAGAGTCTCAGGGACTCCTGTTTCTTCTGATCTTTCGTGGAAGAGAATCACAAGCCAGAAGTAGATCAGAGGAGGGAGATTCGTAGAATAGAATCACATAATCAAGACTGGGCAGCCATAGAGGTGCATGTCTGTACTGCCAGGGGCTTTGGAGTCTGAGGCAGGAGGATCGCACGGTCAAGGCCCTGAGCAACTGAGCGAGACCCCCTGTCTCAAAATTTTAAAAAATTGAAATAAAACAGGGCTGGGGATATATGGCTCGGTAGTAAAGCGCCCCTGGGTGCCATCCCTGGTAACAAAACACATCAATTAAAGAATTCAGGGGGAAAGGAAAAGGGTGAGTGGGTTCAAAATCCCGAAGGCCGGATGTCAGAGCCTGATGGTTTGATACAGGAAGTGGCTGGGAAATGTAGGAAGGACCCTCAGGGGAGAGTTGGACAGGGGTCCTCCCGTGTTGAAGAGGCTCACAGGTGGGGATTTCTTTTAAACAACATCACGACTGGGCTTCTTCGGGTGCACCCTTGTACTGTGAGCCCGGGTGTCGCATTTACAATCGTAATGTCCCACGATTGCGTTCCCATGACCCCCTGCAAGGTGGCATGTGCCTCTCTGTGCATTTGAAATAGGATCCAGAGACACGGAATTCCCAGGATAGGCTCATTTTCTCATTCTTGCGTGATAGGCCTCCTTGGCGCTATTATCCCAGCCGACATGAATTGTCATCACGTTCAGGGCCAACAGATTTCCCGGGTGAGGTGTGGGGACAACACTTAGGTACCACCTTGTCCCCCTTGGGTTGCCTGTTCCTGTGAGACCCAGAGATCTGCCGAGCCCCTCAAGCAGACTGGTGCGATTGCCTGGTCTCATTTATTCACGGAGGAAACTCACAGAGGCTGTGATTCATAGGGTATTTTTTTTTTCCACCGTGAGGCGTAGCCAAAACTTTCCCAGAGCTCCCATCACCAGCCATACCCAGGGTAACAACAAAGAAACCAATAAAACTGCGGATGGCCTACCAGGGCATTGTGAGCTGACTCGCCGGACGGGAAGCAATTTCAGGAGAGAAAATAGATAGATTGATGTCTGGAAAATTCATCTTGCCTCCTAGGACAGAAAGCAAGATTCTGAAATGAAGAAAAGAGGTTCACGAGAGCTCTGTCCCGAGCCCCCAGGAGGAGATCTGTGAAGATGGGTGGGATGAATATATTTGGAGACGGCAGATGTCCCCCTGCGTGGCCAAAGGCTGAGGTTAACTTTGTGTTATAGAAACTATGTAATTCCACATGTTTCACGAGATGAGGAAAACGCTTTCTTTAGAGGTCACAAGGTAGCACACTCCTGGATTTTGATTCTTCTTCTTTTTTTTAAGAGTAGAGGGACTGGGGATCAAACCCAGGGGCACGTAGCCACTAAGCCACATTCCAAGTCCCTTTTTATTTTATTTTTATTTTGAGACAGGGTCTCGCTAAGTTGCTCAGGGCCTCGCTCCGTTGCTGAGGCCGGCCTTGAACTTGAGATCCTCCTGCCTCAACCTCCCAGGTTGTTGGGATTACACATGTGTGTGTGCGACCGTGCCTGGCCTGGGGTTTCTTTTTAATTTTTATTCTTAAATTCACTTTGAAAGACCTTTTATTTTGAGGGGCTGTGGGTGTCCGTGGTAGAGCGCTTGCCAAGTAGACATGAGGTCCTTCATTCCATCCCTAACACTTCACAACAAGCGACCAACTCAAAGTCCTTTTTTGAATTTATTCTGAGATCGTTTTAGACATAGAGAAAACTTGCAAAACAAAACCGTCCAGAGGGTTCCCACGGGCCCTTGACTCAGCTTGTAACACCTTGCATTACCTGAGAACGATGCTCAAAAAAACGAGAAATCCACCTTCGACTCTTCTGTGAACGGCAGAATTCATTCCTATTTCACTATAGCTTTCCGATGACGTTCCTTTTCTATCCCAGGATGTGATATAGGGTTCCCAACTTGTGTTCCATCGCCCCATCACCGGGAGTCTCCTCCAATCTGTGGCAATATCTTCTTCCCTTCTCTTCATGATCATGAGACGCTGGAAGGGTACGGTACTCCTCCCGACGCCCCATCGGAGGGCGGAATAAGTTCAGCGATGCTCCACGGATACCTGAAATTGGGGGTGGTACCAAAACCCACAGGTACTATTTTTTTCCCCTCTATATACATAAATATGCTGAAATCTCATGGACACATGAAGCGTGGTAAGAGATTAACAGCCACAATAATCAAATCCCACAACAAGATGCAAGTTACTCACAACCTAGAGATTCTTCATTTCTGGAATTTTCCATGGAATGCTTGATTCATTTTTCATTTCATCCAGAGCCCGGAGGAGCACAGGCCACTGAGACCTCAGATACAGGGTGACCTCAGGGGTGATGGGTGGCTACAGAGAAAGTCCCTCCATTTGTGTGGTCTGCTGTTAGCTCTGATTCCTAACTTGCAGAGAGACGCGTTATCGGTAAGGAATTCACGGAGGACATGTCCCTGTGTCTAGTGGAGGGTGTCCCAAGGACGTCACCCTTGACCTCTTATCTGAGGCGGTTCTATCCGGATTCTCCATTATGAGTCACATTGTCCATGGGCCATTACCAGGTATTTGGAGGAGACCCTTTGAAACAACCCGAGTCCTGTCTGTGCTTAGACTCCACCTCTTCCTGTGTCCCTCTGGGGTCCTGGCCGGGGCCATCTGTACTGTGTGTTCTAATGACGATTTTGTTTCTCTCGTCTCTTTTGTGTTCCTTAGTTGGGATTCTTTCACAACAAGAGCGTCCACACTTCTCCATTTCTTTTCTCAGAGAAGCTCTTTATTTATGACAGTGTGGGCCTAGGGGTACTTTTTTTGTTCTTTGGTTTACAATCCAGTAGGACCTACGATCCACTCTGGTGACCTATGTATTCCTGGAGAGGGTCTCCCTGTAGCCTTCTGGCGGTGGCCTCTTGTGACCTTTCCACCCCCCCCCCCACACACACCCCTTTGCTGGGGTTGGGTTCCAGGTCTTGAATTCGTCCCTCCTCCTGGGCACTCACCGATGCCCCCAGACCCATCCCGTCTTTTCCCTACCTGGAATCAGATTTCCAAAATGCCCTTTGTTACTTTTGCAGGGGATCACGCTTCTCAAGGACACTGGTGTCACCCGTTCACCGTCCCCGCCAACTCTGTACTTTCAGGATGGCTCCCAGCCCCTGTGAACCTGTCCACTAAAGGCCCAGACCCTCAGCCCCAAACACCAACAACACATGGACGCACAGTCCTGCACTCCAGAAAGGAATGCCTTTCTTTTTTCCAATTCACGACCTTTATGCCCTTCACAGAACCAGCATACGTACATCTAGAGAGTTCCATGTACCCCCTTGAAAGAGGGGACGGACGGACTCTGGCCTTCCATCAGAATCTTGATACCCCAGTGAGATGCAAAGTCCCTCTCCCGGTGACTAACTAACCAGCCTGTGTCACACGACGAATCAGCTTTGGGTGGAGGGATAAGACGATGAAATTCTGCTCGGCTTCGTCTGCACGAAGCCAGGAATAGCAATTTCGTAGGAGAAATTCCATCTCTGCTGGCCTGATTAGGCAGGTTAATTAATTTACTTTTAATGCTATAGATATGTCAAGCCCAATCGTGAGGTATGCACCCCCCCCCGTGACTCTCCTCTTGGGTGGATAACTGGGGACAAATGGGTACCTTCATGGTAATGCAACTGGATAAACTTGCATTGCCCACAAGACAATCCAATCCAGAAAAGGGAAGTGACTTTACTAGGGTCACCTGGTCCTGCAGAAGAAGAGGTCTTTGAAGAGTCAGGAGAACTGTACCCATTGGACCGGCACCAAAAGTTCAGACCTTCCAGGTCACAGCCACAGCATGAGCGCAGACGAGGGGTGGGTTGGGATATTTATTCAACCAGATCCCTCCATTTGATGCACTGAACCCAGCATAGCAGGCACCCAGTGACGGTCGTGAAATTTCAAGGGCTCATCCCACAGTGAATGAGCAAGGATCGTATGCACTTTAACTAACAGGCGGAAGGGGAATTTGAATTTTATCTTCCAGTGACCATAAAGGAGCATCGTGGTCCTGGAATGATTAACATAAGCATTAAAAAAAAAAAAAAAGAACAGTTTAGTTAAAATTTAAGAAAACCTAGACACATGAAGACAGAGTGTCTCCATCAAAGGACCCGGGCTCCAGATACCACGGGCCTCCCAAATCGACGTCGAAGCTTTGAAATAAAATCCTCGGAGCACCAATTACAGCGGGGTCTGAAAAGCAATTATTATCAACCTCCTTCTGCTTTGCCACCGTGGATTCTAATTTAATTACGTCTCCTCTGTTGAAAACGTAGCACTGTGCGGTGAGATAGGGCGGTGGAGGAAGGAGTCTGTGTTCATCCATTCTGAGCACAGAATCCCTGGTGGTAAAAAAAACCTGTCCTTCTGGGTGGAGAGAGAGCTTGGATCCGAGGCCACTGACTTGACAGATGACAAGTCCCACAGGAACCGCCGCAAGGCCACCAGGGTGAGGGGCAGGGAGTTCTCATAGCTCTGGACCCTAAGGGATTCCCAAATCAGCATTTCTTGTTGGTTTAGAGAATCCGCTTCGTCTCCTCCCCCGCGTGATGGTTTGGGGGGTTCTGTGTTTGGTGCTTGGGTCAATCACGGCTTCTCGGCGCCTGAGAAACGGTGTTTTCCGATCCCCTGCGTGAATATTCCTGTAAGAACAATTTCCGTGGCACGTTTCTGGACTCCTTGCCAGAGTGGACTCGATAATCTAACCATTGTATGAAAAAGATTGTTAATGTCTGACCCCGGCCCAAAGGTCTTAGATAATTTAATAAGAATTCGTACGTTGAACCACACTGGAGCTATGCCGGTCCCTCACGGCGTTTGGAAAGATGTAGATTTGTTCATATTGTCATCTTGGTTATTTTGGCGCATTTTGAGTGCACAGGCCAAGGGCAGATGAATTCTGGCTTCTCCATACCCCTGATCTCATTGCCATGTGCATCACGGGGTAACAAGAGAAGCAGGGGCAGACAAGGACATTCTGGACGGGTGACCCAGCATGCCTAGATTTGCCTGTGTCCTGTAGATAAGAGTGCTCCACAGGAAGCAGGTGCCGGGGACAAGGAATTTGGCTCCTGGCACAGCAGCCCTGGAGCTAATGATTCCTGTAGGGATCTAGTCTGGGCAGAGCTGCATCCGGTGCAAAGAAGTTCATCAGCACCCTGACCCGAGAGCACATTCCCAAAGATGCAGGCATCCAACCAAACAATAAAAGTAAATTGACCTATGCTTTGGGGAACCCAGGGGGCAGGAGCTGTGCCTCCCTGCAGGAACTCACCCCAGCACTCCTCAGGGCCCCGCGTCCCAGGGGTCCCCATAAAACCTGAGCCACAGACCCTGTGACCGGGACGGCGTCCTGTCAAAACGTTTCTTGGAATATCTCTAGAAGCTATAAAACAAAACCAAATCTCTTATGTCCGTGTCAGTAACTCTCCAAAGAGCTCTAAAGGTAAAGGTTTGTTAACCTGAAGGAGAAAAAGTCATAAAAACAAAACCGTCCATCCTGATCCACGGGATTTAGCTGACACCTTTTGGATAATGGAGCAGAACTCTAAAAAAAAAGGTAACATTTCATTTTTAAAAAGGAAGTTCTCAAATGTATTACAGACTCTTTTAGTGATGTTCCTTTGAACGAGTAGATTACGATTTACACAATTTCATCTTCACAGCCAAGTGCGGTGGCTCACGCCTAAAATCCCAGCAGTTTGGGAGGCCGAGGCAGGAGGATGGCGAGTTCAAAGGCAGCCTCAACAAAAGTGAAGCCCTAAGCACCTCAGTGAGACCCTGTCTCTAAATAAAATACAAAATAGGGCTGGGGATGTGGCTCAGGGGTCAAGTGCCCCTGAGTTCAATCCCCTGTACCTCTCCCCCAAAAAAGAGTATATTTCATTCACAGGTGATTTCACAAAAATGTGGCCTCCCATGTTTTATTCTTTGTTTAACTTTAAATTCTCCAGAAGTCACTCAAATAACCAGTTCTGACCGATGGCCTGCAGCTTCAATTTGACAGCAGTCAGTCTGGTGTGAACTGGTTTGGACCATGTGATTGACAGGGGGTGATTGACAGTTCAGCCTAGGATGGGGGTGTGGTCGCATTGACCGACATCAATGTTGTTCCTGAGCAAAAGTACATCAGGCAGAAAAATGAAACTCTCCCTTAAACAAAAAGAAATTGTTTGCAGGTGCAAATAACTGTGAAATAATTCTGCTAATGAGGCTCCATTACTAGATAAAGATGTAACCAAATTATTTTGGGCCATCCTCTGGCAGAAAGAGATCAATTATTCATCAAAGATCCAAGGATGTGTATCGACCATCCCGGTCCATGTCAAACCTCATCTGTAATGAAGGAATGTTTCAATTTTATCAACAGCATGTTATTGTTAGCTTACATAGAGGTCAAGAAATATTTAAAAAATGGGTGAAAAGTTCTGAGGTAAAAAAGATATAAAACATCTGGGCAGTTCTCCTTCAAGAATCTTCATAAACGAAAGACAGACATGAAGGCCAAAAATTAAATTGTTTTCAACATGATGCTGGAATAATCAGATATTGGTGTTCAAAAAAAATCAAACCAAACTATGCTGTGTTACCTGTGAAATTTTGACAAAGATATCGAAGGGCACAAAAACCAGAAGACAAAAGAGTTAGAAAGTATCCAACCTGACACATTTTCTTTAAAGACGTTGCTAAGAAAACAAAGAAAAACCCCACTGAGTTGGAGAAAATATTTACGAAACACATATTTGACAATGCGCTTTTTACACAGTAGAAGTAACTGTCAATTTGTATAATAAGGAAAAACAACCCAGTTTTTAAAAAAAAAAATGGGTAATAGATTTGAACAAAAATCAAACACCAAAGAAGGTAAAAGATGGGGAAGAAATATGCAAAGAATATGCCCAGTATCATCAGTCACTGGGGATGTGCCAATTTAAACCATGATGAGCTACCACTGCACAGTCATTTTAATGACAATATGTCTGTGAGTTTGCACACCATGGTAGGCAGAATAATAACCCACCAAAGATATCCAAGCCATCACCCCAGGACCTTTGAGTAGGTTATGCTACATGGCATAGGAGAATCACAGAAACCATGAAAATGGAAATAAACTTGATAATCATCTGATTTTAAAAGGAGCCAGCCGGGCACAGTGGAGCACACCTGTAATCCCAGAGACTCAGGAGGCTGAGGCAGGAGGATCGAATATGCTCAGAGCTTTACAACCCTTAGCTTAGTGATTCCTATCTAACGTTCCCAGGTTGCACGCTCCGTTATTCTGACTTCTCCTTTTAAGATCTTACTTTGATTTTGCTATTTGCATCTGAACAATCCTCAAGAGATTGAGCCACCGAAACTCACCCATCTGTGTTAAAATCCAGGGGAATCTGGCCCAGTGTGGTGGCACCTACTATAATCCCAGTGAATGCAGAGGCTGAGGCAAGAGGCCAGCCTCAGCCACTTAGCAAGGACTGAGTTGGAGGCCGTTTTGAAGTTGGATATATCAGGAAGCCACCAAACCATATGATGAGACACGATATTTGGTGTAATACGCAGCAGAAGCAATCGAGTTGGAGCGAATCCATTTCCTGGACTCTCGTGCAGTAAATGTGGAAGGTTTTATTAAATGCAAAATTAAATTTAGATTTATGGCCCCTGTTGATGCTCCAAGATATAAACTGACATTATCATATCATCATTTTTTTTTAATTCCTGGCTTTGGATACTTTATTAAACCAGAAAAAAAAACTAGACTGGAAGGAAAAGTTCAATGCCAATTTCCGGATCATTCTTCTGTGCATTTTCTTATAATTATTTCCATCTATACCTATTTATCTGTCTGTCGGTACCCCAGGAAGCACACTGCAAGTATAGAGCATTATGTGAAGGTGTAGATGAGACACAAGGGGTGGCGGTGGGACATTGTCTAATATTGACCTTTTTATAAATAAATGAACCAAGTTATTAAAAATTTTGGAAATTTTTTTCCATGACCAGTGATTTGAGAAGCAATGGAATTTGTCCAGAGAAAGTAGTAAAATGGAACAGGGGCCCAGTGAGACTGCTCTTTCTGACTTTTGCCAATTTCTTTGCCCCCCAAAAAAAGCACCTAACTTCACAGAAACATCCAGAATAATATTTGAGCAAATATCTGGCCACTGCCACCCAGCCAAACGGACATCAAAATTTCATCACCGCCCAGGGACAAGATGGGGGAGGGAGCCGTTATCAACCTGCCTGAGTAAGTCACAAATTCCAGGCACTAGTCTAATTTTTATATATTACCTCATTTAATACTCACAACATCTGCGGGGGGGCAGATTATTATCACCCCCATTTTACAAAAGAGGAATTTGAAACAGAAGAGGAGGAGCATGCGGACTAGAATCACACGGGTGACAAGGGAGAGAGGCAGGACTTCGACCAGGTCATCTGGCTTAAGTCAAACAAGTCTGGAGTAAAGATGGAGGTCTCTGGTACATGTCCATTGTGGTTTCTGGTCGACCTTTCAAGTGCCCTTCACCGCGACATCACCGTCTGGGTATTTTTTCTTGCTAATTCACCGTGGAGAGTGGTGAGGACCCTACGGATGCGGCCGTGTCTGTAGTGATTGCTCCTTTCTCCTCCCTCTTCCCAAACTTGCAGGGATCCGCTGGCGCTTAGTTTCGACTTTGTACACCTACCCCCGGATTGCAGCCTCTGTCTTCCTTGGGCACTTGGCAGTCATTCCCCTGGGGTCTGACTCGTGCCGGGCCCTGTTCCAAGTCTGGGGGTGACCACAGGCCCTATTGCAATGCCCTTGACTTCCTCCAGAACCGGCATGTTCCACCATTTTCCTCCCTTGACCAAGATGCTGGGAATTGGCTCAGAGTGGCCAGGAGGGAGCGTGTCCTCGGACTCCACTCCAGGGCATTAGTGGAAAGGGAGGTCTGAGACACTTCTAATCCACAATGATCTTGGGAGGAGACGGCAAGCGTGTTAAAGCAGACGTGATCATCTAGACTTTTCCTTAGCTCAGAACCCTATCTCAAAGGCTAAGCTATTTTTGCATTTTTCTATCGTGGTTAAAGTTTAACAAGGTTCCTTTTTTTTCTTTTATTTCAGTCAGACTTGAGTTCTCGAAGTTCGTGAGCTTGTGGGATCTGGTTCAGTCTCCAACATTGCTGCGCAGATGGGGCAGAAATATTGCCTCCTGTATGGATGAAGAGAATCGGACACGGATTCAGGTCCCCAGAGACGCACAGGTGGTGAGCTGGGACGTTCCCCTCTGGTTTTTAGATACCCCTGTGTGACATGATCAGAGCAGGTGACACTGGGAGATGGATACGGTGTTGCACCTTCTCGGGGACAGAAAGAGCAGGCTTCTCTACTTGACAGACATTTCTGGGGTGCCTTGTAACGTCCCAGCAGTTTACATCGCGTTCAAGCTGGGTGAGTCTTAACAGTACTGAAAATGACCTAATTAGGGGTATGCCACAATGTCAGTCAGGACTCTCTCTGATTCTCCTCCTCTGCAACCCATTTATAATACAGGGAGGGAAACCCGTCCTGAGCGGCTTGGTTTTGTGATGGCACCTATTTTACATAAAGCTGCCCTGGTGTCAGACACTAAGCCCCTTGAATAAAACTGCTCCCACTCCACCTGATTCCTGGCTCCGTTTTTGAGTCATCGCTACCCTGGGATACAAACATGGACCCTTTCGCCTGAGAAAATTGGGAAGACTTCTTAAAAATGCTTGTGTTCAAAGGTGGGGTTTTATAGTTTTTCTGTCGATGCTAAAAGTCTTCCCCATCAGATTTCCAGCCAGGCACACACCTGGAATCCCAGCAACTAAGGAGGCTGTGGTAGGAGGATCTCAAATTTGAGGCCAGCCCAGGCGATTTATGAGACACAGTCTCAAAATTTTAAAAAAATAAAATAAATAAATTTAAAGGATGGGGCAGTTAGCTCAGGACAGTGGTAAAGTTGGGTTCAACCCCCAGAACTAGAAGCAGTCATTCAATCAAGCTTTACCATATTTTTAGAGAAAAATTCTAAAATTTTAGATCCTGGACAAGTTACTTCATTTCCCTGAGAGTTAGCCTTATTATCCAGGGTCAGTAAAGAAGACTTATAGGCTTTTTTTTTTTAAGAATAAATGATAAAATCACTAGACAAAAATAGGCATCATAGCTCGTCCACAGTTAGCACTCAGCACATACTAGCTATTGCTGTTATCATCCCGTAGGATGACCTCGTCTACGAAGTGGCTTAGCAATATAAAGGAGAATAGAAGAGAGGGCCGTGAAAAATTCAGAAGGCTTATATGTTACTTTGGTGCTTCTGCTATAACAAATTTACCACAAATTTGGTGGCTTAGAGTGAGGTGATATATACGAATATATTTATTCATATATCATAAAGAATATTCCGCCTTTGGTTTTTTGGGATTGGCTTATTTCACTTAACATGATAGTTCCATCCATATACCAGCAAATTTCATCATTTCATTCTTCTTCATGGCTGAGTTATATCCCATGGTGTCTATGTGTCACATTTTCTTTATCCACCCACCTGTTGAAGGGCACCCAGGTTGGTTCCAGATTTTAACTATTGTGAATTGTGCTACTATTAACATTGATGTGGTTATGTCACGGTAGTTTGCTCATTTTAAGTCCTTTGGGTATGACCTGAGGAGTGGGGCGTTTGGGTCTAATGGTGGTTCCGTTCCAAGTTTTCTGAGGAATCTCCAAACTGCTTTCCAGAGTGTTTGCACCAATTAGCACTCCCACCAGCAACGTGTGACTGAGCCTTTTTCCCCACATCCTCGCCAACCTTTACGGTTGCTTGTGTTCTTGACCATTGCCATTCTGACTGGAGTGAGATGGAGTCCTGTGCAGTTTCAAATTGCATCATACAGTTCTGGAGGTAAGACGTCAGTCTCGCTGGGCGAGTGTGAAAGTTCTGCAGGCTCCGGGGGAGAATCTGTGTCCTTTCCTTTTGCAGCTTCCTGAGGGACCCTTCTTCCATGTACAAACCCAGCAATGAATGGTTGGTCAGGTCGTGGACTGCATCCCCCTGGGAGTCCTCCCGTGCAGTCAAATGTCCCTCTGCCTTCCCATAAGGACTCTGGTGATGACGTTAAGCCCATCCAGATATCCAGGGTAATCTCAGGATTCTTAATTTAATCTCCCTGGTGAAGTCCTTTTTGCAACATTCACGGGTCCTGGGGATTGGAATGTGGGCATCTTTGGCGGTGCAGAGCATTATTCAAACATTTAGTCTATGCCAAATATATGCCATAATAGTTGTATGTTAAAGTTTATTGGACAGTTCCCACTCAGATCTTCTTTGATTTTGATGCCATTGTGTCAAACGTGGTTCTGTTTCTCAGCGCCCTACCACCCACTAGAAATAGCCCGTCGTTGGGTGTCTGAGAATTAGGGACCTCCTTTCTGCACACAGGGAGCTGATCAGAACTTGGCCCCACACCTGCCCGCTCCCACCTGGAGAGAGACTGAGAAATACGCAGTGTCGCCCAAGAGAAGAAAACACACAAAACAACCTCAGAAACTGGCCCCAGTGTCTGGCACGTGCTCTGAGAAGCAGAGAGAGTCTGAGGAGCAGGAGAGAGGGGACTAGGATCAGCTTCTCCTTTATAGTGGGCTAAAGACCCAGAGGGAGGAGAGCAAGTCCCTGTAGGAGACCTTAGCACTTGGCCTCAGCCATCTGGGTCTGCCTTGTTCTCCAGAGCCTCGGATGCTGAGCCTCAAAGAGCACATGTCCCAGCTACGTGGCGTGATCAGCAAAGTGGCCTATATTCAGCACAAACAAAACCCTTGCTCAGTGTGCAGGGCTCAAGGTAAAGTCCAGGTGGTGCCGAATTTACTCTTGCAAAGGAATACGAACCGCACTGTGCAAGTAAAGGAGAATATTTCTTCTATTTTATTTCCTGTAACTAATTATTGTGATCCTGTGCTATCTGTAGGGGGATTGATTCCAGAATCCCAATCTGCGGATGCCCAGGTCCCTTCTATAAAATGCTGTAGCATTTACGCAACCTACCTACATCCTCTTGTCTACCTGAAATCATCTCTAGGTGACTTAGAATACCAGATACCATGTGCATGCCGTGTAAGTGGTTGCTACCTTGTGTTATTGTTCGGGGAATACTGATATCGAAGAAGTCTGTACATGTTCGGTACAAACGCCGTTTATTAAAATTTCGGGTTCCCCAGTTGATCCAACCTGTGAATGCAGAACCCACGGATTTGCAGAGCCTACCGTACTAAAAAAATTGGAAGCAGAAAGAAATGAAAAGACTGAAATGTGCCCCTCAAAGCACAGGCTGAGTCCCATGAACCCATACGGAGGTTTATACAACCGAGATGAGTTTTCCAGCTCATCTCTTGGCTGATCAAAAACCTCTCTCCTCCTCCTAGAGGCAATGATTCTCCTTCCACTCCTTCGCAACTTGTTTCAGATAGGATGTGGCGTACCGCGACACCCTTTCTCAGGGTTTGGAGAATGGAAAAACTAAAATCGAATGCAGAATTGCCTCTAAGTGACTCCGGAGTGTCTTCAAGGAAAACAAAATTGGCGAGGAAAGGAACAAACAGGCATTCCGGGAGAGAAATCAAAACTCCAGACTGGATTGTGGATGTCCAGCTTTGTGGAACCTTTGTAGCATGTCGAAATTTGAGAGTCCACCATTTTTCCATCGTTTGAAAACAGCCGTGAAGACAGGTGCTCGCCCACGAGCCTGGCGGTGGGAGAAATTCAGTTATTTGATTGAAGTCACCAAACCGATTTGCATGAGATTTGTGCACCTAGGAGGTAGGTGCTTCTCTGTCCTAGAACTTGGTTTTCAGGAGGACTTGGAGACTTTAAGAGTCAGGACCTGATGTTAGTCCTGAATGAAAGATTTTGTCCTACAAATAGAAATTTCTTCCAACCCCAGACTTGCAGTTCGAAGGCTCCTGGTGGATATGCATGGGAATCTGTGTGAACGCCTGCCTACTGCCAAGGAAAATCAGCTAATTGGGTGGGCTCACTTGCTGTGAAACTCTGAGCTACGTCCTGGAATCAAAAACTCGCTTTTCTATATATAGCACCGTTATCCTTCGGTGTCTACCAGGGATTGGTTCCAGGACACCCTGCCCCCACCAACTAGGCCACCAAAATTCACAGATGCTCAAGCTTCTTATATTAAATGGCATCGTATTTTCACCTCACCTCTCCATACCCTCCACATAATGTTCTCTACTGAGAATAAAATCAAACTAGTTGAGAACAACAAAAAAAATTGCGTTTATTTAGGGCTAATTAGGAACTATGGTCCAAGAAAACAGCGATTCAAGCCGTTTTGAAAATGTTCTCTGGTGGTTGCTTGGTGCCACCCTCTATGCGGGGGGGTGGGCGCTGGTAATGACTTGTTAGGAATCAGGATTCATCCTGGCAAAAGTTCACCTGTTTTATAAGAAAGGGGGGTGGTGCCGTCTCAGCCTCTGGGTCATTTAGGGAGAGGGGTCTTTTGAATAGAAGGTCAGCAGAGGTCAGCAGGGTTTTAGGGACTTTGTTCCAGTACAGAATTCAGCTCACATAGGAGAGGGAGGAGGTGTTTCTGCAGCGCAGTTCAAAGGTCAGTCGTGGATGCCATGGGACACTGGTCCAAGGTCTTCCAATTCCATGGTGAGTGCTCCAAACCAATGCTTCTTCCTGGATATTTGAAACCATCTCCGTGCTCCTTATAACACCTATGTTAACCCGTGTTGTATGGTTGAGCAAATAACAACATGGAAAAAGAAATCGGTCTCATTCAGTAAGGACAGAAGTTTTTGTTTTTTGTGTTTTTTGTTTTGTTTTGTTTTTTGCAACTGGGTTCAATCCATGGTTGGTTGGATCCTCAGACATGTAACCCGTGGAGATGGAGAACCGTCAGGCTAAAAGACTTGCACCAAAGCAGACTGTTGACTTTCTCAGTGTGAGGGATGATGGACACCATTAGGGAACAGGAGTGTCCTTACTGTAAGATTTTGCACATGACTGTCCCAAATCTGGACCAGCCATTAATGGAAGTCATCCGTATGATCTGGCCCTGTGCAGAACATCTCCACAGACCCCCCCCCCAGGTAAACCAGAGGTTCCATCATTTAGGTGGACGCTTGCCAACCTGGTCGGGAGATGGTGAATCTTACCCAACGGAGTGTCTCTGTGCCCAGGTGGTAGGAAGTGCTTAATTTCCCAAACCTCTCGAATCTAGAACACCAAATTAGAAGTGTCAAGGGAAGAGGCTGCCTATGGATTATCTACGCACCAAGAATCCAGAATCACGTATTAATTTATAAAGCAACCACTCTGGAAAGTAGGATGGAGATTCCTCGGGAAACTTGGAATGGAACATCCGTTTGACCCAGCTATCCCACTCCTTGGTTTTTACCCAAAGGACTTAAAAACAGCATACTACAGTAATGTAGCCACACCGATGTTCATAGCAGCTCAATTCACAATAACTAAACTGTGGAGCCAACCTAGATGCCCCTCAGTAGATGAATGTGGCATATACACAATGGAATATTACACAGCAATAAAAGAAAAGAAAATCATGGCATTTGCAGTGAAATGGAGTTGGAGAATATCATACTAAGCAAAGTAATTCTAATCAGAATGCATTCTGCTGTCACATATAACGAATTTGAACAGATTAAAAAAAAAAACAAGAGTGAAATACATCACTTAGGTGGCAAATGGCCAAGTGTCCCAGAGATTCAGCCCCAAAGAAAGCCAGGCTTGACTCTTGAGAACTGTCCATCAAAAGCTTTTCTCCATGGTGCTGCGCACGGTCCCCATTCCAGGCATCCTGACTTCCATAGGTCAGCTAGCCCATGGCAG